GGGGGGTGAGGGGGCACGGAATGAGAGAAAGAGAGAAGTCTGACCTCTGGTCCAAGGAACAGAGGGAAAGACATGTATACATTGTTATGGCATTTATGCTCGCGTACACACTGGTAGGAAGGAGGCGCAAGAATCAAAATGGCAAGCTAGAATCATAAGTAAGTGTTTTTGCTTAATAACTAGACATTGGCGTGCAGTAGTTCACTTTATCTGTAACGATCCCGAACCAACAATTTCCTCTTCAGTGGGTGGTTGTGGTTAGCTCCTTCTTTCCTATCAAACATCTGTCGCAATTATCTCCCGTGTTTCTTTTTTGCGTGGGTTACTCTCTTGTAACACATAATCTATTCTTTGACACTTATATAAATATGACCTTATTGTGTTACAAGTGCCGTAAAACTGTTACTGCAGCTAAAAAATAAATTCCGCTCCTTTTAATGAGGAAGAGTAATTAATTAGACACCAAAGACGCGTTATGAGCCTCATCATCCTGGGATACGAATGTCAAGACAGCCGCAGAACGGAACTGAGATCTCCGTGCCGTGGTCGCCATGCATACAGCAGTCTTCGGCCAGTGGTCAGTTAATCATGGCATGACCTTCTGGGGGGTCAGCCCGTGTCTAGACGAAAATGTCAGGGAGTTTATCGATGAGGGGGGCCCCCAGCACCTGGTCCAGCGGTCCAGCGGCCGCTCAGGGACACAGACACACAGTGTTGGGGCCGGGCATATGGCCGGGCCTATACGTTCTTATACTAACCGTCTCTGACCGTCTAGGGCCGGGCCTTGTTATCTGTGAGAATACAGGCCGTGCTGCATGTCTTTGGGACGCCGTTAAAACCATTTTGTGTGCTTTATGAAGGTGGGAGATGGCCGCGATAGGCGACCCCCCAGCCTGGGCGGAGGCTAGGTCGAGGTGTTCCCAAGGAACCCGTCTGTTTCTGGACGTTCATAATTTATCATGCTGCTACATTTTCCGCGACATTTTTTAACTTTCCTCTTGGGGGTTGTTACTTTGTGGGTAGTTTAGAATGGATTGCCTCTCATGTCGTGTTTTGGGGTTTTCGTGGCAAGGGGGCGGGATGTGCAGCTGGTTGGT